AGTCGGTTAAAAATACAAGAAGCCGCTATGAAGAAAAATTTAAAAAAATAAAAAAGATAAAGAATTAGATGACCTTGATGCTAAGAATAAATATATGAAGAAACAGCAATTGAAAAATCTTGATAAAAAGAAAGCTCTACTCGAAACTAGTCGTAGAGATATTGTATCAATAGATGATGAAATCGAAAAATTGAAGAGTAAATAAGATAAATAAAAGAGTATTTATGTATTACATATGTTGTCTAGTTTTTAAAACTAAAAGTACTACTGTTTCATATTTATTTAATAAATATAAATAAAACAAAAATGTGCATGAAAATTTCTTACTTATTGCCCGTTTTTGAAGTAATATTCTTTAGATACAGTTGTCTATTAACCATACATATAATTGAATGTTTCTAAACTTAGTCAGGGGATTTTAAAATTAGATGTCTGGAAAAGTTGGAAAAGTCAGGGAATTTAATTTCGAAAAGTCTGTGGTCACCATGCGTCATCATCATTACTTTCTAAAGAACATTGATACAGCTGAGATAGCCATTGATTGGACATTGTGAAAATTGCTAATGATTGAAACGTTTAGTAAAATAATGAAAGTAAACAAATTGCCTACATTCCATATCTAGAATATGGTCTATTAAATGGAATTTTTATTTTGAGAGTTCGGTTAAATTTTTATTTAGGGCAATAGATACACAACAAGAAGTAGGTGATATTTTCAGACAGACCTGGTTGGAGAAATTGGGTATTGCACACGTCCACCTATTTACGCGTTTTTGCTCGTGCGACTATAAAAGAAATTAGCACTAAAAGTTTTTATTTTGAACAAATGAGCATTTTAAATCAAAAGATCCACTAGGCATTATTTGTTGTATCGAGGTCTGTAAATTTTAGTTAGGAACGTCTCTGATTGTACCCCATACAAACCTTTAACATTAGTTTTTATTGCAGTTCATGTTTTTGTAGCATATAATAATTGAAGTATTGACGTACGTATTGTGATAGGCATAATTAAAAATAAAACGTGATATTGTAATGCTTATCGTTATTAATGTTGGACTAAAAGTTTTGTAGTAACCTTCATTGGAAATGTATGGAAAACTCAATTTACGTCATTTCTTTAGTCTATAAATAAAAGCTAAACAGACTTGTTTAACACTGTGACATAAAGAAACCATTTAATTGATAAATATTTAAAATAGGAACGAATTCAAAAGTATTTTAGGGGAACGGGATGAAATATTAATTTTTTCCTAGCATCTCTAGTTAGTATTGTTTGGAATACTATTCGGTGTACGGCTTAAAATGAAAAAATCGACCCCTCATCTCAATAATAAACTTGGAACTTGCTATTACGAAAAAATAACATTTCATACTAAGCATACAACTTAAATATGTAAAACTTGATTGGCATTTTTTACATGTTTTCTTTTTATAAGTAGACAAATGAAGACAGTCACGCTTATACTTTTAGATTTTTTGATTATCAGAATCCTAATTCAATTTTTCCCAGTGCCTACCAATCCATAAGTCATAGATCTCATGTGGAGGAAGGAATTTTCCCAATTCCCTCCCCCGTGAATCTGCTACTATTTCAAGTTTTCTTTTAAAGAACTCGACTTTGAATCGACTGTTGGAAGGTTTCGAAATAATAACTCATTCTGCAAAATTACTTTAATGATTACGTTAATTATTCAATTAACAACTTAAATGATGGTTACTGTTTTACTGCAAATGATCCAAGTACAAACCTGCATTCGGCCTTGCATTATGTGACTATAGAAACGACAATAGATAATATTAGATTTTGAAGTGCATGGTTACAGTGCATCGTTCAGAATTCTGTGTTTGTGCATGTGATATAATGCGCATATGATCTGTAGGAAATGAGCAACTTCATTTTTTTAATATGTTCATTATTAAGTTTAAATTTGGGAAACGGATACAGGATTTTGGTATTGTTTCCGTTCCAGGGAAGAAGTCATTTCATAATTGTGGAACCTTTGTTAAAGGAACTTGCTGCAAGAGGGCATAATGTTGACGTTTTTGGACATTTTCCACAGAAAGAAAAGATTCCAAGGTAAAACTGCACTAAAATCCAATTAGAAGATTAATAAATTTGTATGAAATTAATACTCATTTGTTATAAAACTAATTGTAGGGTCAACCTGTAGTTGTTTTTATGTCAATATCTTTTGTAATTAGTAAAATGTCTCGTATAAAAGCTTCCATAATTTTCCATGAATTGGAAATATATTTAGTTACCAAAATCTTGCTCATTTTAATAATTATTTTGTAAATAGATAAAAAAAATTTGCGCTGTTAAGAAACTTAGGTACAATTAATTTCGCTAACAAAAATGTTTATCTTCGATATACATAAGTCTCAACACATAAGACTCCTTATTTAGATTAGATACCAAAACTGCATACATGTAGCAGTGCAATTGTTTTTTGGATTATTTGGAAAATAGTACGATAAAATGGTACTTCAATATGTAATTCCTCCTTTAATAATTGATCTTGAAATATGAAATATATATTATTTTTCACAATATTTGGTTTATAATTATCTTAAATATATTTTATTAGTGATGTAGATTATTTGTTAGATCGAAGACTAGTTGCACACGCACGGAGGCATAGCTAAACGCCGGGAACGTCACGACCGGCCTATGTCCTCCCGCCTTAAGGGGCCTCGCAAAACCACCCCCATTCTAAAAAAATCATACGAGTCAGTAAAATATATTGGATTCCCCACTCGTTTAGTCGTGCTTATTAGCCCTATCCTAACATTTTATGGAGTTTAATTTATTAGCACTTTTCCTAACCGAGAAAAATGTCTCGCAAAGGAGATTTCGACAAATTATATGAGATTCTCCACTCGTCTAGTTCTGCTTATTAGCCCTATCGTAATGTTTTGTGGAGTTCAATTTATTGGCATTTTTCCTAACCGAAAAGGATGAAAATAGTCTCGCAAACCAGATTTCTACAAATTATATGGGATTCTCTACTCGTTTAGTTTTTCTTATTAGCCCTATCGTAACGTTTTGTTTGTATGAATCATTAAAAATTTTGCATAAACGGTAAGTTAGTGAGTTGCATTGTAAAGATGAATTATATAATGATAGGCTAAAATTACTCAGTTGAAGCTATTTATCTTAACAATAATCCATGTAATTCAATCATCAAATCATGATTTATGGAGTTAAGTAAAATCTGTAGAAATAGATTCAACAACGTATTCATTTACTTTACCTGAACGTTAAACATTGTTCTTTAAAACAATTTGTTTTAGATACAATGACTTAAGTATAGCAGGAACTTTACCAATACTATTAGGAACGTTTAAAATTGATGAAATGGAAAGCAATACAAACTTTTTCAGTTGGTTCCATATGACACTGTCAAAATTCGGTCTGAAATATTGCGAGAATGCTTTCAACACCACTGTAGCTAAAGATATTCGAGACAGTAAAGTAAAATACGATCTAATAATAACGCAAATATTTCTTAACGATTGTATGTATGGTTTTGCACATCATTTTCAAGCTCCGGTTGTAGCAGTTTCTACCAGTACAGATGTACCATGGGGTGGAAGTAGAATAGGTAGTCCTGCTAACCCTTCTTATATACCGATATTTTTCTCTACGAATGCAGGAAAAATGGATTTAGCTCGAAGATTTTGGAATACAATTTACTATGTGGGAACTTATGCTATGTAAGTTGTTCTTAATTGTACTTATTAATCAGTTAACTGCTGGATGCGTGATTAAATTAAGCAATTAGGAACATTCATGTCGTGTAAGGCTCTTTGCAGAAATTTTACGAAATAGACAAAGCAAAAGAAGGACGAAATTAATTTTGTTAAGTATACATGCTGTCGAAATCATTGTTTAAGGTGAATTTCATTTATCTGGAGATGGAAGTAACAATCGAATCTTAACTTAATCTACTTGGTAAAAAAATTTTGTCTGCAACTCCAATGTAGAGTTTTACTATTATTTGATTTTTCAAAAAAAAAAAAGAAAGCGTCCGACTCGCACTGGGCCGGTTGTCTTATAGTTCGAAAGGAAGCTTTGCCAGTTGTTTAATAAACGCATCCAAAGTTCATTCAAAAACTATATTAGGGCTAATAAGTTCATGAGAATTTCAACGAAATAATTTATTACAATGATTTTAGGTTTTTATTGGAAATTGTATACATTAATCTAATTTATTGATGTGTGAATTCAAACAGTTTAATAATTTTCTTAAAACTTTTAGTTATAACATGTATGCGATGCACCACGGAAATGAAATGATGCAAGAATTCTTTGGCTACAGAATGCCCCATCTTAACCAGCTTATCTATAATTATACTAGTTTAATTTTGAGTAATACCCACTTTAGTACCAATTATGTATCTCCAAAGCCACCGAATCTCATCGAGGTTGCAGGAATGCACATATTACCCCCCAAACCCTTGCCAAAGGTATATTCCTACTTCTCACTTCTAATTGAAGAGATACAGGGGGCAACAGTTAGAATAACTGAGCGATTTTAAAATCAAATCTATCAAAATATCGTATTCTCTTTGATATTTAATTGAATGTAAACTAAAGGACAATTTTCAAACTGCCATGACGTGACCTTCAGCATGTCACTTGGTGAACTTTGGCTTGATTCCTTTATTTTTGTCAAATGTTTTGTTAATATTATATGACTTATGGTTGTCTGACTGACTTAAGCTTCTTGGGCATCCACCGTTCCTCGGTCCAATTGCCCAGCATTTTTCTGATCGATTCAGTATCATTTAATCTAAATTGACTTTGAAATCGTCCATTTGTTCTGTTGAAATTGAATTCCAGAAGTAATAAAAAAACAAAAACGCCCCACTGTTTCTAAATGGAGATGATCTCTTTTTGACTTTTACATTATTGATTCAAGAATATAAAAAATGAACTAGAAATGGAAATTGGGACCAAATACAAGGGCGTTATTTACTTAAGCTTTGGTTCACTTATAGCTGTAGAATCAGTAAATTGGAATGCTCTAAACGCTTTTTGTGGGGCTTTTGCTCAGCTACCATACAAAGTTTTGTGGAAAGCAGATGTAGAAAAACTTCCAAAAAATCTCACAATACCGTCTAATGTGCATTTTGAAAAATGGATGCCCCAACGTGATATTCTTTGTAAGTGAAATTTCTTTTCATCACAGATACATTAAATTATTTTAATATAAAAATTTAATACCTTAGGTCATCCCAATGTGAAGGTATTTATATCCCATGGTGGATTAATGGGTACTTTAGAAAGCATACACTGTGGCGTTCCCACTGTGGGTTTTCCAGTGTTCGCCGATCAAGAATTAAACATTGAAAACTCAAAAATAAGAGGATTCGCATTAAGATTAGATTTCAAAGACGTGACTACAGAAACATTTTTTTACACGCTTAAGGAACTTTTAGAGAATCCAAAGTAAGTTTGAAAGTAGGTGTAGTGCAGGATTCTCATTTTGGTATCGAAAAAATTATTAAAAAATATACTAACATTAAGAAATTAACGAAAACCTCATCAATTAATTTTTTATAAATAAATCAGAATAAAAAGAAAGCATTTATGTATATGACTAATCTACAGATATTATCTTTTAAAAGATTTCTTTAGCTTTTTCTTATTTCTTATAAAAACGTTTTTTACTTAGAAACAGAAAATAAATTCTGTTATTGATAGAAAATAAGGATGCACACACCGCTACTTTTTAATCTATACATCGTGGAGGCGATAAACATCATTAAAGACAGTACAACTGTAGGGATAAAGGGGACAAAGATTAGTATGCTTAGATTTGCATATGATATAGAAGTATTAGCATCTAGCAAGGAGGAGTTAGAGATAGCTTTAAATAAAATGGAAACTGTATTGACAAAACAGTATTGTATGAAAATAAATAAAAGTAAAACAATAATACTGGTATGCAAGGGTAAGGAAAAAGCGAATGTAAAGATAGGAGACGAAAGATTAGAGGAAGTAGATGATTTTAGGTATCTAGGATGTTAGATAATTCAGGACGGAAGGAGTAGTAGGGATATAAAGTAGAGGATAGCGCAGGGTCAAGTCGTATTTAATAAAAAGAAGTCACTTCTAACGAACTCGCGAACGATTAATTTAAAAATTCGAAAAAGATTGTTTAAAGATGTATGTTTGGAGCACGGCGCTGTGCAGGTGCGAAACATGGACGGTGGGCGCCTCGGAAAAGAAAAGGTTAGAAACGTTCGAAATGTGGTGTTACAGGTAAATGATGAGGATACCGTTGATAGAGAAGGTTAGAAATGAAGAACTATTAGAAAGAATAGGAGAACAGAGGACTCTATAGAAGTCAGTAAGAAATAGGCAAGATAGGTTAGTAGGACACCTTCTAAGACGTGAAGGTCTAGTCAGAGACATATTAGAGGCAGAAACAGGAGTTAAGGGGAGTAGATTAGATTACTGCTCGCAGATAGTTTTAGGGAAATGCGAAGACTAGCTCAGAACAGGAAGGAGTGGTGGTGCGTGTGCAACCAGTCTTAGAACTGACGACCTTATGATGATGATGAAAGAAAACTGAGTTAAATTAAAATAAAGTACGAATTATTTAGTTAAGCAAACCGCATTCGTTGTCTGAAACGGTGGTAACATAAATAAGCCATTAAGTATTTATTATATTTACAATGCCTCTGTAGATATCTTAATAGTAGGTACACCTTATCTAGATTATAAAATAATAAAATATTGTCGCCTCGCTAAAGACCCCGAAATTAACGTTAGTGATAAGCAAAATTGGTCTTTTGCATTTTCGCAAGACAAAGACCAATACTGTTTTTATACTAGTAAGACGAAGATCAAGACCGAACGAACAAGATTAAGACGAAAACCAAGACCCAAAATATACAAGACTATGACAAAATACACAAAACTAAACGAAAAATTGTTACTTCCGATGGATTTATGAGTTAAATTATTTGAAGCAACTTTAATATAGGAATATTCTTTTCTTGGAACAAAAATATTTTCAGTATTTGAATTTTTCTGTTTGCTTTACTAGATTTTAACACTAAATATAAAAAAAAGAAACGTTATCACTCTTTCAAAAAAAGTTATATACAAGAATCGCATCGGAGTCAGTGTTCTTTGTTCCTATGTCTGGATAACACATTTGGTTTAAATACAGAGACTAACTAATTTTTATTCGCTATTTTTTACTTCCTGTTGTTCCCTAAAAGGTCATTTTATGCATTGGAAAAAGGGTAAGTTCTCGGATTTTCATAATTCTCACAACTATTGACATTATTTTCTTTAAAAGTCATTACAAGCTCGCATGTATGACAGACAATTTCATCATTTAAGACTATTATTGTGTCAGTAAATAGAAAAGTCTGTGATTATAAAAATTACTAGAAAAACGTAAGTAACAGAACAAAAGAGCAAAATCAAGACACGCAAGATCAAGACTAAGACCGAATAAGCAAGACCAAAGCGAATACCAACACTGGGACAGTATTGATCTTGCTTTTCTCATCACTAATTAACGTTTCAATTGATGCATTAGTAGCTCTAATTTACTGTGGGTTCATTTAAAAAGAAAATTATAAATTTACTTAATACGATTAGTCTAAAATTTTTAATAAAATTAATTCGCTCGCTGATAATATTTAAAGCGTACTTAATCGAAAACTTTTTTCAAAAAATACATATTTATTCAGTGCATATACGGACTAAATAATAACTTTTACAACTTGTTATACCTAACTACTAAATATTTTTAGGTACAAAAAGAATGTTGAAAAATATTCTACATTATTTAGTGATAGGCCTCAGCCTCCATTGGAGACGGCAGTCTATTGGACCGAATATGTCATGAAATATAAGGGAGCACCACAACTGCAAAGTGTGTCAGTAGAGCTGCCATGGTACGAATATTTTTTAGTTGATGTTATTGCCATCTTGGCATTAATATTAATAACTGTTGTATTAATGTTTTATATAATTTTAAAATTAATTATT